TCCCTAGATGCAGCACCTTGCACTTGTCTGCGTTGAATTCCATCCTATTCTTATCTGCCCACCTCTGTAACCTGTCTAGATCTAGCTGGATTCTGTCCCTCCCTTCCAGTGTGCCCACTTCTCCCCACATCTTTGCGTCATCAGTGAATTTGGACAGCTTGCTTTCCACACCCACCTCCAAGTCGCTGATAAACATGTTGAATAGCACAGGACCGAGCCCTGGGGAATTCCACTGCCCACATCCCTCCAGGTTGAAAACGACTTGTCCACCACCACTGTCTGGGTGCAACCATCGAGCCAATTTGCCACCCATCTAACTGTGTAGGCATTGGTGCCGCAGTCGTCTAGTTTTTATGAGAATGAGGTGAGAAACAGTGTCAAAAACCTTCTTGAAGTCCAAGTAGATGATATCCACCTCAATGTCTGCATGCAAGGACTTTGTGACCTGGAGGGTAACCAGTTATCTAGGAGGATGTTGGAAATATTCCTTCTTCATTAGCTTGCTATGTCTTGTGAATTCAGACAATTTAAAACTGACTGTGTGGTGGTTCTCCACTGTAAGCCCATTGAGTAGTGTAGATGAAAGAAACTTCTCTGTGATAATGTGCTGATTTGTCTTTCTGGCAGGATGTGGACAATATTTACAACAGCCAAGACTGCCGAGAGTTTAACCTGTTGGACTTTAGCCACCTTGAGAGCAGGTAAGCCTTCATGTAATTCTGTCATCAGATGGTTAGGATTACTCAAGATGGAGAAGGCTGGCAAACTACATTCTGCCTATAGCCACCCTGAAAATATCTCTAGACATAGAGGCCTGGTCCATTTCTGGCTAAACCTTACTGCAAGGGAATATTTAAAGTGAACTGTGCTCTGAACAGTGACACTATAATGGCCTTTTCATGCTCTGTGGACTGGCTTCTGTGTAGATCAGAATCAGGTCTACTGGTTTTAGTGACCAAGGGCAAGCTTATGCACAAACTGGCACCAAAATAAGGGAAGCAGTTTTAGTTCCCACCTTTTATTTCAGGTTAACTTATTCTATCTGAAATCTCTCTTTTTCTCTTTTGCTAACAGGCTCAGTTAACACAAGGGTGAAATTATATGTTACACTGAGACCATACTAAGGGCACTTAAAATGCAAGAATCTGCATGTTAATGAGTGATAACTGTGCTAAGTGCCCTCTGAGCAGCTCAGAGTTACACCACTTCAGGCAAGGTTAACTCTGGGCTGTGCTACCTACCTCATGTTAGAGTAACTTCAGTCCGCTCCACAGAGATAAAACAAGCAATCTGCAGTCCTCCAGTATCCCAGGGTGCTCCATTCCTGCTCCCCTGCCCTCTGAGTGGGGATGGAACTCAGGTGTCTTGGCTTCTAGCCATGCCCCTGCTCACCACAGCCCTCTAGTAGCAAGTCAGAGCTCTGAGGCAAGAAACGGTATTAATCATTATCATGCAACTGCTCACAGCATGATCTAACCTCAACATTGCTTAACATTCCACAGATTTAGTATGGTCCAAGTGTAAAGTGTAACTTTATCCTAAGACTCTCCAGAATGAAGGTGTGCATGCACAAAATTGCACCAAATAACATCAATGAATTGCAACTGATTAAGCTATTTTGATGCAGGTGGTTTCTGCTCTTCCTCCTGGGGTGCCCTGCAGAACTATAACTTAACCAGTGGCCAGGTGTTTAGAGCACTGTGCTGGGGAGATGTGTGTTCTAGCCTCCACCCCTAGAGCAGGTTTGAACCTGCATCATCTGTGCCTTAACTGCTAGGTTGCTGGAGTAAAACCTGTGTGATCCTCTCCTGATTTTTGTCAGGCTACAGTTTTGAGATGTATGGTTGGATACATGTGTACAGAGTCGTGTACCTGCTGGGACAGGAAGCAACCTACTGCTCATACTCAATAACCACCTGAACACTTTTGTACCCATACTGCACATCGAATGGGATAAATAACTAGGCATAAGTGCTAAAAATGCTGGTTATGTGGCTGGGTAATTACCATTTGGGTGAGTATGGAGAAATAAGATTCTGCCCATATGCTCAACATCCCTCCCCCTTCCCACATGACAGGGACCTAGAACTGGCATTCACTTCTTGGGCTGTCCTTCACTGCTCATCACCTAACACCCACTGGGCATGAGTTTTTGCCCTGCTACAGTTTTGAGATTTATACTCAGGTAGGCATGTACAGAGCTGCATACCTGCCAAGCCAGAGTGCTACCTACTGATCATCTACAGTGACAACATAAGTGCCATAGGGGTCAGACCCTTTGGTCCATCTAGCCCTGTATCCTGTCTCTGACAGGACAGAAGTGGATGCTATACAGTGGGAGCATCAAACTGGGTATTTCTAGAGCGATCTACTTAACTCCCTCCCCGGCATCTACAATTGATTGGGTTAGAGATGCCAGAGGAAACATCTCTAACCATTCTGTTCAACAGCTACTCATAGATCAATAACCATGAATGTATCCAGTCCCTTTGTGAACCTGCCTATGCTATCTGTCTCCACCACCTCCTGTGGCAACAACTTCCATAAATTAACTGTGTGTTACATAAAAAATACTTTATCTTGTTTGTTTTAAACCTGTCACTTCTAACTGCAGCAGGTGCTCCCTATTTTTACTATTCTGGGACTTGGTGAACAATAGTTCCCTGTTCATTAGGTCCATACCAATCATGGTTTTATAGACCTTTGTTATGTCCCCTCTTAGCCTTCTCTTTTTGAAACTGAAGAGTCCTAGCTTTTTTAGTCTTTTCTGGTATGACAACTGCTCCAGGCACCTGTTCATTTTGGCTGCCCTTCTCTGTCACTTTTCTAATTCTACTACATCCTTTTTTGATGTGGGAACCAGAACTGCACACAGTATTCAAGATATGGGTTTACCATAGATTTGTTATAATGGCATGATGATGTTCTCCGCTTTGTTTTCAATTCCCTTCTCAATGGGTACATCTACATGTACAATTAGCGTACATGAATGAAGTCCAGAACTTATTGCTCTGGAGTTTTTTGCTCCCAGGTGTTATTTGAAGGTGCTCCAGAGAGCAGTTAATTCCAGAGCAACCAGTTCCAGCATTTATTCATGTGCAGTATGTGGAGTCTCATCAGAGCAGCCCTGGCTAGCAGGGGACCCTGGGGGTCAGCCTGCCAGCCCGGAGCTGCTCTGACCGGGCTTAATGTGCTGCGGACCAGCTGGCTGGGGCACAAAGGTGCTTTAGTGTTGGGGCTAGCCAGCAGGCAGCCCCCACACTGAAGCACCCTTGTGCTCCAGCCAGCTGGGTCAGTGTCAACATGTGCTCTGTTGTGCATGAAAAAACTCCACAGCAGGATAGTACTTTTATTTACAAGGGTTTATTAGTTTCCTGTGCCCTAACAGGGGTGCGCGTGTAGACATTGAGACA